CATGATATATTCATGTTCGCGTGACACCATTGGAATGGTTGCAAATATTGATATTCAGTGTGAACGTATTTTGAGTTGTCACATTTGGCCAAGAGTTTATGAAGCAACTTTAAGCATTGTTTTCAAGCTGTTCTCCATTTGTCTGAAAGACACTGGTGAATTTGGAACCATGGAGCACCGCTGTACCCAGCCTACAGGTGGAGATGGCAGACAATCAGGAGGCGGAGCTTCACTGAATTTTGCCCCAGCATACGATGGCGATTCTCGCAGTTTGCTCTCTTCATCTACCTGAAATCCTTGAGGGGAACATCTTGTTTGAAGAGGCGAAGATCTTTTAAAGTTCATTGGTAACATTCCATTGTTATAGCTGGAAGCTTTTACTGGATGGAATGCTGATTTTGGTGACGATCTCTGCAGTTGTTTGTTTAGATTCGAGTTGAATCCATTTGTTCTATTTTGCTGCTTTGTTGGTGAGCCACCACCTCGTTCTTTGAATCTTTTTGGTGTCTTGTTCTGCTGACTACTCCGGCGATGTGGAGTACCCTGAATTTGCACTTGAGTTGGACCCATGTTTGGACTCATTTCAAATTCGTTAAATTAAATAGTTTGTGTACTAATCTCGTAGTAATAATAGTCTTTCTGAGTCAAATCGGTCTAGGCCTACACTTGTGATAAAACACTTGGCACTGGCAGGCTTCGTTCCTTCTTGGCTAGCCTTGGGCTAGACTGTACGTATGGGCGGGTTCAGCAAAGGTGTTTCAAAAAAATGACAAACCTTGTGACAACTCAAAAACTTATCTTTCAGACGAATACACTAAATATCAAATCAAGCTTAAAATGTAAAGTAATTAATTATAATGTGATCAATGAAAAACTGACAATCAAACAACCAAATTTCGGACAAAGACTTGCGGCTCAGCGTCTGAACTGGACTGAGAAGATATTGAAGGGTGTGATCAATCAAAATGTCGGTTGATTCATTCCTTGAACATCAATGGTTCTCTTCCACTTGTTCTTGAAGCTGTCAAAGATTGTCCAAAAAAGGTTAACTCTCTGTTAAATCCGGGGTAATAAGAAATATAGGCAAAAGTGCCGTAGAAATAATGGTTACAACCAGATAGCCTTCTCTCTCTCTTTCCTTTCTTTCCAAAGTGATCGACATCGCTTGCTCTCGTACACATAATCATGAAGCTTAACCAATCAGTGGCCATTTGTTTGATCACGTGACTGTAATTTTCAATGCTAATTTTTGGCCTTGTAGTGACGATGGGTTTCTATATTTATCTTGTTTACAAAATTCCAAATATGGCTAGTAGTATTAGTCCGAGGATGATGGCAAAAAGTTGTAGTTTGTTTACTAACAGTATATCATATTTTTGACGTATATAGTGGGAATTCATATTGGCTAATGCATGTATTAGAAATACAACAATTTAAAGGAATAATCTATCTAGCTTTGTGTACCACATGTGAAACGTATCATTGGTGTACGTGATCACAAAGAAAGTAGTTCCATGAAAATCTACTGTATGACCCGATTCCATGACGATAAACCATCAAAACGTTTGGCGAAACCATTATGATGATAGGGAAACTAACTTTTCGGAGTTTACAGCTAGTAATATATAAACATATAATAGCCTACTGTTATAATTAGGGAAAAAATTAAGAATGCACACGAAATAAACAGATTCGAAAATTGACACAAATCATAGCCTAAATCCAAAGAGCACTTATTATTCACTTAATTCATTCATCTTATATTTCTGAATTTTATATCCATTTAACTAACATTAAACAAGTTACTTGTAGTCTACCTTGCCTTTTTGACTTTTAAGTATTGCATTTTAACTTTTTTTTTTGCTTGTTAATATTACACAATTTAGTTGTTACTACAATGTTATATTCGGCAATTCTTATTTAAACCTTTGTATTGTTTGAGAAATTTTAATAAAAATATACTATAAGAATGAATGAATGAATGAATAAAACAATATCTAAAATAATTTGTCAAATAATTACCTAATCACAACTTCACATCCATATGAATAGGTAACGTAAGAACATATTAGAATAAACTTGAGAAATATAATAAATGCAAAAAAAAACCAAAAAAAAAACAAACCATAGCCTAAATCCAAAGAGCACTTATTATTCACTGCATTCATTCATCTTATATTTCTGAATTTTATATCCATTTAACAAGTTTCTTGTAGTCTACCTTACCTTTTTGATTTTTAAGTATTGCATTTTAACTTTTTTTTTTTGCTTGTTAATATTACACAATTTAGTTGTTACTACAATGTTATATTCGGCAATTCTTATTTAAACCTTTGTATTGTTTGAGAAATTTTAATAAAAATATACTATAAGAATGAATGAATGAATGAATGATTGATAGAATGAATGAATGAATGAATAAAACAATATCTAAAATAATTTGTCAAATAATTACCTAATCACAACTTCACATCCAGATGAATAGGTAAGGTAAGAACATATTAGAATAAACTTGAGAAATATAATAAATGCAAAAAAAAAAAAAAAAAAAAACAAACCATAGCCTAAATCCAAAGAAAAAAAAAAACAAGATCCCAGCTGATCATTTGGGACCCTAGAGAATTACTTACAATATTTAATTCTAATTACTGCCACCAACACTTATAAAAATATGAAATATTTCATTATGCAGGTGTACATAACAGACAGCTTCATTTCTTCTGTAGACACAGTTCTTAAGCATATAATAAACAGGCCTAATCCTGATTCTTAAATCTATTAAATAACAGACTTTCCTAAGAAAAAGCTATACTTATTTATATTTTATTTTATATTTATCGGAAATGCAAACTAATATCATTATTAATATTTATTGATTATCGTTATCGTTATTATTGTCATTATCATCATCATTATCGACCATCATCATTGCTATCATCATCATCATCGTAATTCATCGTCGTCGTCGTCGTCGTTCTCATCATCAGCATTGCTATTGATATTAGGCCTTTGTTTAATATTTATATTAAGCGCCATGTTTTAGAATAAAATACAGTACACAGTACATAACCTTTATTTAAGATCTCTGTGATAGTCATTGACAGAGTACTATACATCTCAATAGAGGGCGGCATACAATATCGCTCTACCAGTAGAGATGATTTTGCCACAAAAATGGAAATATTTGGGAACGTCAATTAAAAATTTATTGGTGAATGTAAACAGTGTAGTAATGGGATTGATAAACCAAAGAAATTATTTTTAACTTTGGCCGGGGTAGGTCTGCAGTAAATAATCCAATTAAAATTAATGATATTGATAACAAGCTAAACTGGTCGGAGAAATGCAAATCCATTTTGTATAAAGGTAAGGCGAGACTTTTTTTTTTTATTCATATTGTTTTGCGAACTTATTTTTTAAAGATCGTCAGAGGCGGGCGGAAAAAAACTAAAAATAAAATTTTGTTTTCTTGTTTAGCAAATAGTTCTGTCAAAAACATCCCGCCGGAGGATAGGCCTATACTGTAATAAAAATAATTTTCCAAAAACCGAAAGGTCCACTGATTAATCTCAGATAAGAAAGTATAATACATACTCCAAGTATTGAAATACACGCCATCGT